CACCGCTGGAGGCGACTGCGACGATCTGAGCAGTCGGAATGTACGGAATCTTGCCCATCCGTAGCGTTTTACGTGAAGTACGCGAGTTGATCGATGTTGGTAGAGCAGAAGGGCTCCGGAATGAGGGAGACTCCTGAGGATCTTTTCTTTCGGTAGCATCGGGATATGTTTGAACTTCGATAGCGAGTTGTAAACATCTCCTGATGACTAACTCATCATCTAGTGCCGATGGCAATGTTGAGATGTTCACCAGTGGTGATTGGCTTGATCAAGAAGACACTACAGTACAGTTAGAAGTAATAGCATTATCCATGAACCTGAATTTATGTCTTGTAGCTGATTTCCAACCTGAGATGGACATATTCCGTTCTCTACTTTTCCCTCTCTCCCTATTATCAAGTGTAGTGGGATCTCTCATAAGGGTTCCTATATCATATGAGAAGGTTACGAAAGAGGCTGATGTGTATTTTCTAGTTGGAAAAGTAACACTCGGTAGCCAAAATGTCTATGGTCTTATTGACACCGGCGCCCCCGAGACGTTCTCCCTCTGGAGGCATTGGTATGAGAAGGGTCATCCAGGGAGGTGCAAGGACATCATCTTCGGTTGTTATGAATGCAGCCCTGAACCTTGCAGTGAGAGAAAACCTTATACACTAGATTTCGGGGATGGATCCGAAGTACGGATCTTCGAGGAATCTGCAACGGCCCATTTCGGCTCAGCTGTCAGTGCCACTATTTCATTCGGTCTGCTTGCTGAATACACGTACGGTCCCAATGTGCCAGTCCCTCATGCTGGTTTCGGATTGGCACCACAAGATGATCCAAAATCACCATATATACCGATAATAGAACAACTTCTCGCACGGGAGCTTATCGAGAGTGATATCTTCTCGATTTACCTCAGGCATGATGGCACTAATGAAAAAGGGGAACTCCTTCTCGGTGGATCGGATCCTAGTATGTATAAGAGTCCGTTGGTCTATGTAGCGGTTACTACTGAAGACAAGTTTGTCCGAGTTACTGGCTTCTCCCTTGGAGGTAGCGCGTATCCTGTAATAGCTGTGAATGATGATGGTATCCTTGATACTGGAGCAGAGTGCATATTCATACCTATGCACAGGTATACTCTTCCTACCCTTATTAAAGATCTTGAGGTTCGATCAAGCAGTAAGGTGACGATTACCCAAAGGGGTTCTAAGCTTATCGTCAATTGTAATCAACGACAACACCTTCCACCGATGGAATTTCTTCTAAAGGGTCTAGATGGTTCGGACGTCAAGCTGAGAATCCCCTCTGATGCATATGTGGATATTAGAACGGATGCTCAAGGGCGAGCTTATTGTCGCGTACTTCTTAATGTGACTGATTATCCTCTATGGGCTATTGGACTCCCTAGCCTCATTGGACGTTATTTTTTGTATGATTGGAAGAATAATAAGATAGGTATTAGTGAACTCAAGTAGAAACACTCTTCGAGACTGAAATAAAATAGACTATAGGGATGCGTATGGCACATGCGCGAATTGCTTATTCCACACAGCAATCAGTCATTAATCTCTTCCGTTTTTCAATCATTCATTGACCCTCCCATCTTTCATTGTTGTGTTGCACCAGTGTGTCCAAATATTATCGAATTATGTTTATCTTGTGCCATAACGGATCGAGTCTCCATAGCTTATACACTTTTTCAGCGCCTGTTTGAAGCGCAGATTTTGAACGATGACAGAAGTAAGATGTACGATGTTCCGAGAACTGAACTATGCCTAATTCACCCAATGTGTTTTTCCCTGCAAGCATACAATTTCTATTCATTCTATGCTCGGAACTCATAACGTTAACTTGACCCAGTTCTTTTCAGGCCCAACTTCGATCAAAATCTTCTCCTCATCGTATATCCATGCGGCTCAAGAAAAGAAAACGAGCTCATAATCTCGACTGATGCCTCACAACTGCATAACAGCATGCCAAGGTTGTTCACGTTGTGGCGAAACATTGGAGCGTCATGCCTGTCTCTATTGCGTTCAGTTCTCGGAACATCGTACATCTTACTTCTGTCATCGTTCAAAATCTGCGCTTCAAACAGGCGCTGAAAAGGTGTAGGAGCAATGGATACTCGATCCGTTATCCCACAAGATGAACATAATTCGATAATATTTGGACGCACTGGTGCAACACAACAATGAAAGATGGGAGGGTCAATGAATGATTGAAAAACGGAAGAGATTAATGACTGATTGCTATGTGAAATAAGCAATTCGCGCATGTGCCGATACGCTGCGTATCGGCACATGATATAGGGATGCGTGTCATACGCATCCCTATAGTCCATTTTATTTCACTCTCGAAGAGTGTTCCTACTTGAGTTCACTAATACCTATCTTATTATTCTTCCAATCATACAAAAAATAACGTCCAATGAGGCTAGGGAGTCCAATACCCCATACAGGATCATCAGACACATTAAGAAGTATGCGACAAAAAGCTCGCCCTTGAGCATCCGTTCTAATATCCACATATGCATCAGAGGGGATTCTCAGCTTGACGTCCGAACCGTCTAGGCCCTTTAGAAGGAATTTTATCGGTGGAAGGCGTTGTCGTTGATTACAATTGACGATGAGCTTAGGACCCCTTTGGGTAATCGTCACCTTACCGTTTGATCGAGCCTCAAGATCTTTTATGAGGGTAGGAAGAGTATACCTACGGATAGGTATGAATATGCACTCTGCTCCAGTATCAAGGTCACCACGATCGTTCACAACCGTTACAGGATACGTTCCACCTCCAATGGAGAAGCCGGTAACTCGAACATACCTGGGCTTAGTGACCGATACATAGACCAACGGACCTTGATAAATACTAGGATCTGATCCACCGAGCAGGAGTTCCCCTCTTTTATTAGTGCCATCATGCCTGAGGTACATCGAGAAGATATTACTCTCGATAAGCTTCTGTGAGAGAAGTTGTTCCATTATCGGGACATATGATGATTTTGGATCATCTTGTGGTGCCAATCCGAAACTGGCATGAGGGACTGGCACATTGGGAGCGTACTTGTATTTAGCAACCAGACCGAATGTAATAGTGGCACTGACAGCTTGGCCGAAATGGGCCGTTGCAGATTCCTTGAAGATCCTTACTGCGGATCCATCTCCGAAATGTAGTGTATAAAGTTCTCCCTCCCTGCAAGGCTCAGGGCTGCATTCATAACAACCGAAGATGATGTCCTTGCACCTCCCTGGATGACCCTTCTCATACCAATGCTTCCAGAGGAAGAACGTCTGGGGGGCGCCGGTGTCAATAAGACCATAGACATTTTGGCTACCGAGTGTTACTTTTCCAACCAGAAAATACACATCAGCCTCTCTCGTCACCTTCTCATATGATATAGGAACCCTTATGAGAGATCCCACTACACCTGATAATAGAGAGGAAAGCAGAGCATGGTATATGATCATCTTAGATCGAATATTAACTACAAGAAATAAACCTTGGCTTACGGATGATGCTAATACGTACTCCTAACTGTACCCAAAGGAGAGAACGGCTGTTCTTCCCCCTCGTGTCACATGAGTCCTGTGGCGTGATACGTCATGCCACACCATGACGTGACGCCACTGGCGTCATCACGGTGCTGTTGCCACCAGATATTGATGATTTTATAGCACGAAATGCGACAACGTTCGAGGTAGGCGCTAGGAACCAGTAGCGCATAATTCAGTTCACTTGATCCGAAATGATATCACGGATAGAACGACCGAATTCTTGTTCATTTTTTCTCACGCTGACTCAAAGAGATTAACGCACGCGCGTGTTCACATTATTGTCAGTCTGAGGGCAACGACCCCTCCTCCCTGTTGAACTAGGTCGTGGATCCGATGAGAGTGAAACATGGAGGGATACCATTATGAACGATTCTCTTTCTGTTGATGTATAGCATTAGATCAGGAGCGGAGTTATAGATATACTCCCCGAGTAAAAGTTGGTATTTTAAGGCGCAATTTTAACACGTGTATGCTAAGAATATGTGGAGAAAACTTTTTACCAGTCTTCGACTTCTCACTAACTACGGAGTTAGGTCCTGAAACCTGGAGGTCATATCAGATAAAGCATAAGTACATACCTCCCTGAGCCGCAAGATGATACTCGTTGTGGTGGCTGTGCACGAATCGAAAAACCGGATATGGTAAGAACATGTGGAGGGGTGTACACCTTTCGCCGTGCAAGTTTGATGAGTGTGCAGGCAACCAAGTCAGTGTCACATCCAAAAATGGCAATACGTATTCATGTTCGACACAAGTGGGAAATGTCAGGTACAAGTTTGACAATATGCATTTATCTCTGACACATCCTTGATTTATTGAGTCCAAGTTTGATAGTACGCATCCAACTTTGGCACACCCTTGATTTATCGGGTCCAAGATTGACAATATCTCATCCAAGATTTACATTACGCACGCAAGATTGACACTTCGAACAAATATAGATGGGATAACGTAAAAAAACGTAACGTTTATTTACAGTGTGGTTTGATAGATGGTCCGATAGTGGGCCTCACCGACAGGTTGTATGCGTCACCTGTCTCTTTGTCTATTTCTGATCGCTTCGGCGCTTACTAAGTGCCGCTTAGTGTGCTTCCGTGCAATCATGTGCACGCGTGCTTTGCTCGCGCCGAGCAATGGCCAGTCTTTTACTCGTATAACCCAAGTCTGAGTCGTGATAGACTCTATCGCCATCAGATTTATGCCTTAGTAGTTAGTTATTAACCTCGAGACTTAATAGCATCTTCTGTGAGTCGCGTTCATGAAGCGGAGCCCGGTCAAACTCTCACAACGGTTTACGACACGGAGTGCGTAACGTAAGCAGTTTACGGTTACGGAAAGGCCTTACGACTATACGAGTGGCGCTGAACTGCTTTTTTATAATTGTGGCGGAAACACATTCGCTGCATTGCACTCCACGGTGGCTCAAATAGTTGTTAAACTCATTGCTTGTAGCTCGGATTCAAACGAACCGCTGAGAGAGTAACATTTGGTTTCGCATTCACCCTCGTCCCCCTTGCAAATTCCGTCCGTCTTACTTCCAGGCTGGTCCGCAACTGCCAAGCCGGCCGGGTCTACGGATGCGCATTCACATGAAATAGATTCAGGCCACTTGAATGATCAATCCTCGATTTGTCCTCTGCCTCTTCGTCAGACTCGTTACAGCCTGTAGCTTACAGCACCGTAACTTTACGATAGGGATTTGAAGCGTAACCGTAAAAGTGAGTCGTAACGGTCCGTAACATGATTCTGCCCATCTATATTCCGGATCAGCCGATCCGCGGGATGGTGGTGCCTATAGTCATGAGGATTGCTTACCAGGATTTGCCTTGCACTATGGCAACGGCAAGCGATACCTAGCACACCGAGTATGCTTCGGATGCCTGTTCGATCCAGAATCCCTCGAGTCTTCCCGCGGAGGACAAATCCGATCATTCCGTACGTCAACGTTAATAACGTTAACTCGCCACGACATCGTATAATATACGATGTCGTGGCGAGTGGTATAGCACACTTTGTTGATGATCTGTTGTTACACATCTCAATGGAAGATGCATGCAAAATTGTGTTCTGACTATCGATATTATTATCTCACCTATCGCTGTGTGGATGTACAATCTCTGTCTTGAAATTTGCTATACTCGTCCATCCATCCGTACAATCCCATGTGGCGTCTCTGCACCCATACATTCGATAGTCCATGCCAGTGCTTGGCGTCTTGCTCTCTTACGACCAGAGGGGGCTGGTGATCGATTGCAATCCACGGTCTAAACTGGAGAAGGCTGAGAAACTGTTAGAAGCGGATTGTTGTTCTTGCCAAGTCCTTCACCGTATTGCTGGTGCCCTGGGGATGGATAAGGCAGGGCTTATAGATGGACAGCGTAACGTTTTTTCACGGTTTACTTTACGATATGCGTAACATAAGCAGTTTTACGGTTACGAAAAGGCCCTACGACTTTACGGTCGGTGCTGAACTACCTTTTTCGTGTAGGATACGCAATTAACTATCTATATTCGGGCGAGCGCGATACAACCTGCGCTGATCTTTTTCGATCGTGTCGTCACTGTAGTTCCACACTGATCCAATTTAGTGACGGGGTAATCCGCAGTCCCTCCCGGAAATTTAAGGAGCATTAGATTTTACGTCAAGAACTCGATATCAGCTCATCTCAAGGCTCATCTGATGTTGATTCAAACAGAAGCGTCCAGTCGGCATCGACTACGCAGTCTCTTCAATTCTGCCAGGGCTATGCGTAATGCATGCTTATGAGGCTCTCTACATGACAGGGGCTGCATGGTACGTAGGTACTCGGGCCAGACCCTCCGAAGCATCTCAGAAAGTCTTCACCATCGACAATCCCGTGACCTCCAAGAACTGGCCACCTAATGTCAAACAAGAGCCCATTACTCCCGAGTCACATCAGAGTGTTGGGACTAATCTCGACGCCTTTCTTTACAGGTATTGTAAAACATTAATGGAGCACTTGAAGCTGAAGGAGATCAATGAGATGAAGAAGAAACGAACCTTCACAGTAAAAAGCATTACATTTGTCGTCATTTCCGGGGACCATCGTCCAGATGCCTAGGATGAACCTTGGAGATTTGGTTGAAGTTCGGTATGAGATAAGTCGGAGCAAGAAAACGTTTGGGACCTTTCAGGTAGTATTGACGATTGAACTCTCTTGATTATGATGAGCTTGGGCAGAGGTTTTCGATTGGATTCCCAACTCTATAGTTCGAAAGGATCTCCAACTCCTATCTATTCAATGTCTTTCCTCCCTACGTTCTTCCTACCTGTCTCAGGGTTACGTCATACGAACGGCTAATAAGCTGCTAGACAGTACTTTCACACTGAAGAACTCTTATGATGGCATCACAGTGGAGCAAACAGTAACGATTTCGTTGACTTGTCATAGTCTATGAACTGGGTCGCCTCAGCGCATTTTTCAAATTGCAGTTTCCTCGGTATTCTCCACGATTGCTCGACGTACGAGTAGTAAAGTCAATCGGTTCTTATGAACGCGACAGGCTTGATAGGCGGCCACGGAATAGAAACTACAGGTGGGAAACTGACGCCACTCCCACATCTCCTTATCCAGTGTCGAACTCTCATACAGTAGATATCAGATACCAATGGTGGTACTATAAGCGCCATATGTACTCGGAAGGATACCAAGTTCGATGGCAAGCTATACCTCAGAAATTCGGTACTTCTTGGGCCGTAAACACTGAGTGGTGTATCGAGCCGTGTGGGCAAATGCGTACACGGTTATCTTCATGTGTTGGTGACAGTGTTGGAAAATATGCATACAGTCAGTCCGACTTCGTATGTAAAGTTGTATATTTATTGAAGGAGCTCCTGAACTGATGAGAGCGGACGTATACTCCAACACTGGTTGGTGACAATATGAAATTACTTCTACGTGTCTGTACGCATCTACCCGAATTCGTATGTGAACTTTCGTATCAGGTTGGGGAGTTCATAGGTTCAGCTGATGGAAACGAATATATATCACTTGCATTGTTGCCAATGGTTGTAGGTGTAATGAGTCTGGAGCCGCGACTAGGAAGGGAACTAGCTTTACTGAGACGGAGATACAATATGATGAGGCTAGAAGCCGGCCTACCTCCGTGAGCAGCACGGACTCGTTTACTTCCATGGTCAGATGTCACTGCCTCAGGTACGTCTGGGCAGGACCTTATCAAATACATCAGCGTATGTCGCGAGAAGGGAAGGCCGAGCAAAACCGCAGGCAGTTACTGTACGCATACGACGAGCGACGTAAGAGAGCTCTCAAGAAGAAGCTGCAACGGATGAAAGTGAAGTAATGGATAAGTCTGAGGCGCGGAATGTTCTTGGAGGGGACGACGTTTTAGGTGGGGCATTTACAAGATTGACAAGGAGCCGAGAGTTCCCGCGGTCGACAGGCTGATGGCCTACCATCCCTTGACGCCCCATAATTTGCCTAAGTAGATTGGCGTCAGCATGGAAAGGTGTGTTTCTGTCCACCATTTTGGGTTTGTTGCTTCCGTCAATACATCGTCCGCATTTAAGAAGTATATCAAAGGCAAAATGACGAACAGTGAAACGCAAAAGTAGTGCGGTTAGCGGACTTAGGTAAAGCACTACTGTTCGTAGCCGCCCACTCCCGATGTTAGTCAAACATACGAATATTATGACACTTCATGCTGTGATCCAAGATTGGAATGGGGCGACTCGGTGAGTCAATAGTTTTGATTTTGCCTGGAAGCATAAAGCACTTTCCTATCCATGCAATTGGTCACATTGCTGGTCACATTGGATACTGTTCTTTGTTATGACTGCATCTGCGCATTTCCCCACAACCCTGCATCAGCCACACGATGATAAATGCTCAGCTTTCGATATTACGGTGAGGACCGGGAGGTTTCGTCTGGCCTAGCAGCTAGTTAGCAACAGGACTTGGGAAAAGGTGTTGGCTTCCGAGATGCTGCTTGGGTATCGACGGCATCCGCTAGAGCTAGTGCGATGTATGTATACCGTCGTGTGATTCATAGACTTTCATAAGCCTAGACACCACGCTTACAAGGCGGGCTCGCATAGTCTACAGCTGGCGGACGAGACTGCTGCAGCAGCTAATGAAGAAGAGGCCTTGACGCGAACATTGACTCGTTTGTTGGATAATTACATGGCAAGTGAGTTTGGTGGCGTTCGGAAGCAGAAGCAGCGAATCGAAGTCTATTCTAGTTCTGTTACCAAATTCTCGTTCTGTCGCCAATTCGTGTGGCTTACCATTTCTAGCAGTATTCAATCTCCTTGTCAGCAAAATGCAAACTTTTCGGTATTGTTGAACACAAGTTACTCGAGGCCCGGCAAGACGCCTCTCGAGCTGAGAGTGGCATGCACCCAAGCGGGATAAATCATAGTCTACAGCTCACAGGTGGGCGCGTGAATTGTATTTATACCTACAAAAACAACAACGCATGTAGTGTACATAAGCAACGAAAATCCAGTATCATATCGGCAGTGTTCCGTGCAGCACGGACCGTGCTGTTGTCGGGGATTTCCCGCCGTCAAAACGGGTCGTTTGTAGTCAGGGACGCGAATAGAGCTGCTGACGACCTGAGCCATCTGAAGAACTACGAGTTTGACAGATTGGACTCGATTGCAAACTTGCTCGATCGAAGTCGAGATTTGGCAGACAGAGTGGGGCTTCCCATCTTCTACCTTTCCTCGCACTCTAATGCTATGGCCCGTCCTCCGCCGCCTGCTGGAGTCTCTCTTAGATGCTTCACATGGTTCGGGGTTCTATATCAGAGTCTTCTGTTGCTGCGAATCTAGCCAAGACACAGGATTCGTCACGAAGCCTTGCTCGTAAGTTCCGTCCTCATGCTATTTCGCAAGACCCACTGACGTAATAACGAGAAAATAGTCGCGGCCATCCGAGAGTTGACTACACTGCCTGTGGACGTTGCACACTGACCTTGGAGTCTACATTGGAGCATAGTTCAATGACTCCCTTCTTTACCGAAGCTAAGCTGGTGAAAACAATATGATATTTTCAGCAACTCTGAAGGATACTGGCTTCGGTGACCAGATGCTCAACGCATTGGTGCATAGCCGGCATTTAGAACGAACAGCCGAGCACTCTCGGGCAGTAGCAGACGTGAGTTGACCCATTTGGGCTGGTGTATATCTTGTGCAGATCGTTGTGGAGGTGCGATAATCAAAAGTGATATTCAATTGCGATCGTCATGGCCATTTGATAGTCAATACATCTCGAATCGTGCACCAAACTCGTGCACCAAACTCATTTCTTGAAGCTGTGGGAGTAGTCGAGCTTTACATTTTTTCTGCAAACCTCCGGTCATAGAGGACTCGTTTGATTCATCTGATGCCCTCGGACGGTCGGTAGTTCAGTCAAAATAACTCGTCGCGCACGCACGCACGCACAACGCGAAAGTGCCTGTTGTTGCGGTATATGCTCCCCTCGCTTCGCTCGCTCCGCAACTGGGAGATAGAACTGCGCACGAAGACAATGCAAATTTTGGCAGTGTCTAAGTTCTTAGATTGCTAATAAAGGAATGAAGGTATTTGTATCCTCGGCACTACTCTTCATAAACGCTAAAACTCCAGTCACGACTGTTGACTCATGAGTTGGGTAGTGGATTGGGGAGGTCTATGTTGCCCTGCGCAGCTGTTAAGCGACAGATCATTGCTTAGTAGGTGCAGCATGTGCACAACTAGCATGGTAATACCGCGGTCAACATGGGCGGTTCGGGAAAGATAGCCCATCGCTGACAACTGCATTCTATAACTTGTAATTCGGTTATCAAGTCCTGATTATCGGGGCTTGATGTCATCGCTACTGCTCGAGAGCAGCTGTCAGCAGAACAAGCAGAGGGACAGGTTGATGGTCCTTCAGCATGTTAGCTACTACTCGATTCTTCTAACCATGTGTTAGCTAACTGCCTTGACAAATAGCTAACGTTTTTCATCGAACAAACTACACAACATGCTTAGATAACAACCCTGGAATGTTTTCTATATGTATAGTCGATTAACAAAAAATGAGTCTCAAGGTCAGCATAGTGAATAAGGAAGCCGTCGATGTCTGGGCTTGTCGATACTAGTGCATTGGACGTTGGCGTTTCTGCGCTTTCATGAGATATTTGTCCGCCCGGGACATCGACGGCGGGAAAGTGTGCAACGATACTTTACTTGATAGGTCAATTTATTGGGCGAGGTTAAAGTGAGGAGCACAGTAACACAACCTGAGGTTGTGTTACTATGGCAAAAGTATCTGTAGGTTCGGGCTGTTCAACGGTTGATCAGTTGTTCATGATAGCGAGGACTCTTTATCGGTTCAAGTACCAGTTGATACGAAGAACGACAGCGACGACGTGAGTTCACGGGAGATTGACGAACATAACAAATGGGTCACAGCGCGACTAATAAACGGTTCATAATAAACTTACTGGTCATAGCTAACATTCAATGATCGATCATCTCATCTGTAAAGCGTCCAGGATGCTGGTCCTTCAACCAACTCGCAAGTCTTCATCACCGGAAAGCGTCATAAAGGTATAAGAAAGTCATAGAAATTATCTCCGGAAGTACATACTGATCTTCAGATGAATTTCAGATGCAAGTTTTCCGGGTGTAGGGCTACAACAACAATCCCCGTCTCTGTAGACCAGAAAGACGCCAAGTCGCCCATCTCCACATCTTGGCCCCATTTGGGGCACTTAGCTTCGAAGTCATTACGAAACACGATGTACTTCGAGCGTTCCTCCCCCATATTCAATATCCCTTCGTTAGGTCCCTGTTCTAGGTAAGAGAATAAGTAGGTAGAGTTCTTCCCCGAATTGCAGGAAAAGGTGATGTTGACTTCCTCAGAAGTGAAGGCGTATTTTATCACCAATTTTTCTCCAAGTGTATCCCCATCATAAGCATATGTTCCAACTAGCTTTCCTTCGGTGCCCGAGCTGGACAAAGCTGATAAGCAGAAGACTGTGAGTGCAGCTACGGCGGATCTCATGGACGGGAACTAAGCGAGCCTGAATCTCTGATAAAAAGGAAACAGAAGTCGCCATCATTCGATGCTGTCCACAGTCGGCTTGGCGAATATTCTCACAAACAACCTGATGTGGCTAACTTATCAACTATAAACCAACGACATCACCAACCAACAAACAGTCATACCCAACTAGCTATGCTCTATTACGAGAGGGAGTGTTGTCTATCCGCAACTATTGAATGCAAATCTATGAAGGTTTAGTCAACCAGGCAAAGCGACTTTTCGTAACACCAGTGGTGTTACACCACACTAGAAGCATATAGTACAGCTCACGTGACCTAGATTAAACCACATGTGAGTACGGTTCACGAATCCACGAGACTTTTCCTCGTAAATTTGCTGCGCATCGCAGGCACGCGACTCGTGTGCGCGTGCGCGTGACGCGAGCACATAATGGCTCAATCCCTCGCGTCACGTCACGCGCGGCGTCACGGAGCACGAGTAGGGCGAGCGATAAAGCGAAAGTCTATTGAATGACGAGTTCTGGGGATTTTGTGCGACTCACACTTATAGCCGATATGATGTGAAAGAAATAATACTTTTTGAGCGGTTGGTCTGGTTCTTAGCTACGGGAAAATCGATCAATTCACGTGTGCAGGCCAACTTGCGCACAACCTTGTACGTCATCTTCACGCACAAATCACAGCAAACTGACGAAGTTGTCATCCTTACCAGATGACTCAGAGAAAGGGAATTGATTCGAGACAGAAATAGCTGATGATAATATTAGATAACCACGCCATCTATGGATGAAAATAAGAATACATAGGGAGCATTCGAGACAATGATGTACACGATACTCGTGACACGATGCAGCGAGGCTAGCAAAATGGGTAGTCTGAGGCCCGAACACTTAGGGTCGTTAGGGTCGCAGTCTGCGACTTGCAAATCGGGAAAAGTATGATATTCGTCGTTCATTGGTCTTTGTTCCTCATCACCTTGCAACTAAGACTCGTAACAGGAGTCTAGATCGGGAATAGCTACGGTGATGCGTAGCTATTCACTGAGAATAATTCACAACCATTGACGGCTGTCTTACATTGTGAGCCCTGCCTGTATCCATGAGCGGCGTTAGGAACGCCACGTGGCAGACAGGGAGCAAGCGGTTCTTGACGTGTACAACGCAGTTAGTGAATAGTATTCAGTGAATACTACTCGGGCCGGAATCGAGACAAGGGGTCCGCCAGCTGAGTGGATAAGACCGTATCGAAGGTGATGGCTGAATACTCAGCTTAATATCAGCTGAGTACTGTTTTTGGCATATAAAGCACATGCAATTGGTCACATTGCTTCCGGATACTGTTCTTTGCTATGACTGCATCTGCGCATTTCCCCACAACCCTGCATCAGCCACACGATGATAAATGCTCAGCTTTTGATATTACGGTGAGGACCTGGAGGTTTCGTCTGGCCT